ACGTCCTGTTTATGATGCTGCTTTTTGCTTATAAATCTTTTTTTTTTTTTGTGTGTGTTGTGTAGGCGAGCTGAAGACAGCCGCGGCGCTGGACCGTGAAAAGGTCGCGCAGTACTCTCTGGTTGCCCGTGCGACGGACGGCGGCGGTTTGTGGTGTGAGGCTGAGGTTGTGGTGGTTCTCTTGGACGTGAATGACAGTCCGCCGATGTTTAGCATGCCCCATTACACCGCTAGCGTCTACGAGAACACCGCCACTAAAGCTCTGCTGACCCGAATACAAGCCATAGACCCTGATCTGGGTACGAGCATGTCATTTTGATGCGTTTGCATGAAAAATTTACCATTTTAGTTAATAGTAGGTTGTAAAAGAAAGTTAATTAGCTTAGAACTGCTTGTGTACAGTTAAAACTGAATGGATTTTGCATGTGTTTTATTCTGCAGGTGTTAATCGTAAAGTGGTCTATTCCCTTATTGATTCGGCTGATGGGTTCTTCTCCATTGATAAATCATCCGGGATTGTTGTTTTGGAGCGTCTGCTGGACCGCGAGGTTCAGTCCTCATACCATATAACGGTCCGTGCGTCAGATCAAGGTGTTCCCGTTCGCCTCTCTTCCCTTGTGAACATAACGATCACAGTTTTAGACATTAATGACAATCCGCCCGTATTTGAGAGGAGGGACTATCTGGCCACGCTTCCTGAAGATGTGGCAGTGGGTACGGAAGTGGTACAGGTTTACGCTGCAAGTAAAGACATTGGCACCAACGCTGATATTTACTACAACATCCGATCCGGAAACCAACAGGGCCATTTCACCATTAACATCAACACAGGTGATATGCACTTAGATTATTATTTACGCTATACAGAAATGTTAAAATGAGATGATAAATATATAACGTAATATACACACAATTTGGAATAAAGATTTTTTTTCAATGTTTTATATATATATATATATATATATATTATATATATATATATATATATATGTAATGCCCAAAAATGTTTAAACCAGACATTAAGAAATGACAAAAAAAATTTTTAATGCACCTATGACAGCCCAAAATGATTAAATCAGACATTCATACATGCTTATAATGGGCATATAATTGCCTACCAGTATGCCAAAGGTCCAACATTTTTAAGCACACCTACTATGGCCCAAAACCTGTTCATACATGCCTATAGTGGCCAAAAATGATCAAATTGAACATCTGAATGTTCTTATAATCCAGCTCTGATAGCCAAAAATGTTCAAATCAGATGTTCATACATGCCTCTAATGGGCAAAATTTATTGAATTTAGGCTACGTCCACACGAAGCCAGAGCTTTCCCTATCCGATCTTTTTTTCCCCCTCGTCTCAAGAAATATCTGCGTCCACACAAAACCGGCACAAAACGATGTAGTATACATGCCAGACCAGTATGTGGTGCTGTAATTCTGCCACAGAGATGCACTAAAAATGGAGAAGAAGACTTGGACTATGTACATAAACCTTGCACGCGGTATACAAACGAACATGGAACAATACATTTATTAATCTGTGTTAATGTTAGTTAATAAAAAAGCAATCGTTCAGTGTTTGTTCATGTTTTTGTTGCTGTTACGTGACGTAGCGGTGTCTCACTAGGGGCGAGACATGGGCTGATGACGTCATCGTTTCAGAAAATATACGGATTCGCTGTCCACACGAAAACGCAAGGGCGGCGTTTTCGGATTTATCAGATCGTTTTCAAAAAATATCGGTTTCACTCTTCCAAAACGCCGGATCCGTGTGGACGAAACGCCTATACGATACAAAATGTATGCGTATACATCTAAACACGTCTCCGTGTGGACGGGGCCTTAGTGTTTAAAAGTGCCTACAATGACCAAAAATGTTTCAATGCACCTGTTATGGTCTAAAACAACGAACTCAGATGCTCAGATACCAAATTAAACATTTGAATGTTTTTATAATGCTTTAATGTTCCAAAAATGTTGTATGCACCTATCCTTGCATTCCATTCGGAAGGGCTCATCCCTATGCCCTAATCCCTTCAAAGGGTTTACCCTCCGGAGTGAGAGCTTCAAAGGGTTGAAGGGTGTAGGGGACCAAACAACTGTTTCTTGAAGTGCCCTTCTGCGTCATCATCACATGCCCACACGGAAGCGCCTTCATCATGCAAAGAATCTGCGCAAAGGATCATGGGAGCACGAAGTGTCCATCAGTTGTACCCTTTGAAAACCTTCACTCCGAAGGGCCCTTTGAAGTGGCCAGTTTTAAGCACTTCGGTTTGGAACGACCCTTCAATATGGCAGCCATGAGTGTTTTCACTCCGAAGTGCCCTTTGGATGGCGATATATTCCGTTTGGAACGCACCGTATGATGGCCAAAACGTATCAAATAATGGCAAAAAAATATTTGAATGTGCCTTCTAGTATTGGGGAAAGTTACTTTTAAAAGTAATCCATTACAATATTGCATTACTCCATAAAAAGTAACTAATTGTGTTAATTAGTTACTTTTTATGTAAAGTAGTGCAATAAGTCACTTTTGTGTTACTTTTTGTCACCTGCGCTGGGCTTGTTTGTTTGTTTTTTTTAATAACAAAATGCCCAAAAGTTATATTTTTGCCAACTCTAAAGGCCCTTTCACACCAAAAATGAAATTAGGCTAAAATCAGGCAGAAGGAAAGTACTTCTGCATTTCACTCCCAATTTCTCTCAACACAGGGACAGGAGAGCTGTCAGTGAATAAATGGGAAAACAAAGTAAATTGCATTACTTATTTGAAAAACTAACTCCGATATTTAATTGTAAATTTAAATGTAATGTGTTACATTACTAGTTAACTTTAAAAAAGTAATCTGATTACGTAACTCACGTCACTTGTAATACGTTACCCCCAACACTGGTGCATGTAATGGCCAAACATATATGAATGCACTTATGATGGCCAAAATATATCAAATCAGGTATTTATGTGCATATAATGGCAAAAATAAATAAATAAATGTTTGGATTGAAAATTTGAAAGTGCCTTCTAGTATTGGGAAAAGTTATTTTTAAAAGTAATCCATTACAATATTGCGTTACTCCATAAAAAGTAACTAATTGTGTTACTTTTTATAGAAGGTAATGCATTATATTAATTTTGTGTTACTTTTTGTCACCTGAGCTGGGCTTGTTTATTTGTTTTTTAATAACAAAAAGCACAAAAGTTATATTTTTGGCAACTGTAAAGGTCCTTTCACACCAAAAGTGATATTAATAAGCCTCAGGCTGAAGGAAGTACCTCTTCACTCTCAATTTCTCTTAACACAGGAACAGGAGAGATATCAGTGAATAAATGGGAAAACAAAGTAACTTGCATTATTTATTTGAAGAAGTAACTGATATTTCGTTGTAAAAGTAATGTGTTACATTAATTTACTAGGTAACTTGGAAAAGTAATCTGATTACATAACTCACGTTACTTGTAATGCGTTACCTCCAACACATATTTCAATGCACCTGTGATGGCCAAAAATTATCAAAAGTTTGTATGATGCCTGGATATTATCAAATTAAATGTTTGAATGTGCCTATGATATAAGTGTAAAGTATAAAAATGTTGGTATACGTTATTTTAATTTTAACTTATATATTTATGACTTATAAAATATATCCCATAGATTCACTCTATAACAACATTTGTATATTGTGCCACGTACAGGGTCCATCTCCGTATCTCGACCGCTGGACTTTGAGTCCTGTAAGGATTATTTCCTTACGGTGGAAGCAACTGATGGCGGGACTCAGCCCCTTAGTGCTGTTACCATGGTGAACATCAACCTGACAGACGTCAATGACAATGCCCCCATGTTCAGCCGCGACGCCTACAGCTTGTCCATCAGCGAGGACGCTAACATAGGAGACACCGTGGTCAAGGTAACCACTCATGAAATTCACAGACAGTACGTCTTATTTTTGTGTCTTTGAGATCCACATTATAATTTGGTGATTTGTCGCAATCACCTAGGTGACCGCGGAAGACGTCGACAGCCAAGCAAACGGCGACATCCTGTATTCCATCATCAGCGGCGACCGAGAGAACCAGTTCTTCATCGAGCCAATCACGGGCCAGATCAAAGTCAACAAGCAGCTGGATCGAGAAACGGTGAGGAATGTGGGACGTCGCCACGGCTACCGTTACTATGACAACCGAGTGACAGAGAAATAAAGGCATCAAATAGGACAAAATCCCCACAAAGACTTTATTTTAAATGACACTGATCAGGGAACCGCTGAAGAGAAGAAGAAATCAAATCATTCACGGCAGACATCCACACAGGAAAGCCTTTAATAACAGACACAGTGTCATAGCGTTTCATTTAATATGAAAGATTCTCCATGTGTAAGAGATTAAAATAATAGTATTACACCTGTGAAACCGCTTCATTATAGATTTAAAAAAAAAATGATTTTGGAGTTTGCTTTAGTAAAGCATATGCTTTGATCACTGGTTAAGTGAGTTCATTAAAAAAATGGTAATATGAATATAAAAAATTATAACATATAATAATTTATTTATGTTTATAATATAATTTTTTTACTTCATTTAAAAGTTTGGAATTTATAATTATATAGTTTTTGAATCAAGTCCTTTAGCATTTTTTTATAAAAAAAAAATACAGTAAATAGTTATGAAATGTTATTACAGTTTAAAATAACACTTTTGTATTTTATTTATAAATTCTGTTAATTTTGATTTAATTCTCTGAAGTATTATTTTAGTCTTTATTTCTTATTTGATACATTTTTTTTATAAAAAGGAACATAAAAACAGCATTTATTTGAAATTTTTTGTAACATTATAAATGTCTTTACTGTCACTTGATCAGTGATCAGTATAAGGCGTCCTTGCTGAATAAAGTATTAATTTCTTTAAAAACAAAATTACTGAAACCAAATGTAGTTTTTTTTTAATACTCTTTTATTTATTTATTTTAAACATTAAAAAAATCTGGCTTGGTTTGGAATGGATAGTGGTACATGATGTTATATAACTGCTTTAGTTTCTTTAGATTACTTGCAGACTCTCCTTTTCACTCCCAAGTCAATTAGCTTAAAGAAGCCATTGTTGTCTGTTCAATTATAGATGGTTAAAAGGTGTCAGATCAATTCCAGGCTCTTTTGAAATAAGACTTTGATGAATGATGTAGACATACTCTTTAAACTTTCAGTGTAAATCCTCTATAAAGTCCATTAATTGTAACTAAGATCCAACAAAAGAGAAAATAATGATTCATTTAGAAAATGAATCCCTTCTGAATAGTGCTTAACATTATAAGTGGAGTTTAAAAATGAAATAAAATGCCACAAATGTCAGTGTTTTCAAATGAACAGAGAAGAAAATCAGATGAAAAATAGCAAAAAGAAGAGAAACTGACAGCAAGGAGTTCCAAACCTAGATTGTGTTTCTGTATGTATGGAGCTTCAGATCATCCGTCAGCCTGTCATGAACTATTTATGACACAGTCAGAGTGAAAGAGAATATATAGATGTGTGTTCGTCTCCTTACTTTGTACTTTCTTTTCATCTCTTATTCTATACATTTTAAACCGTTCTCTCTGTATCTGTAGATGGCTGGTTACTCGTTGTTCGTCAGAGCTCTTGACAGCGGGACGCCTGCGATGTCCTCAACCGTTCAGGTCAACATCGACATCTCTGACGTCAACGACAACCCGCCCTCCTTCACTCCAGCCAATCACACTGCTGTTATACAGGTGCGATATAATGAGTGACAGGTAAATCAGCCAATCACGTTCAAGTAATTCCTGCAGTTTCTTTCTGTTGCTCGGCTCGGCTAATGTCCATCCTGTGCACTGATCGCTCTCCTCCACATCATGAGTAGACACGCCTCTTACTGCTGATTGGCTACAAGTTTGTTTTGCTATTCTGCCCGAATCAGTTTTCTAAAGCATTTTTGAAAAATCTCTTACCCCACCTTTAATGTGAGCTTTACTCATTAACAGGAAAACAAGCCTTTGGGAACAAGTGTCCTACAGCTGTCCGTCATCGATAAGGACGCCAGCCACAACGGGCCGCCTTTTCATTTCCACATCCTATCAGGAAATGAGGGGGCGTGGTTTAAACTGGATAGAGAGGGGCTGCTGACATCTAACAAGGTGTTTCGTAGGTCCGAGGGCACAGATTATGTCATTCACGTACAGGTAAAGAGGAATTCTGGACCAAAATTTGTAAAAAGTTAATTAAATTGCATTTATACACTACCAAAAATCAAACGTTTGGGGTTAGTACGATTTTTTTATATGTTTGAAAGTCTCTTATGCTCACCAAGACTGAATTTATTTCATGAAAAATACAGAAAAAAGCAGTGATATTGTTAGATATTATTACAATTTAAAATCACTCTTTTCTTTTTGAATATATGTTATAATGTAATTTATTTCTGTGATGCAAAGCTCAATTTTCAGCATCATTACTCCAGTCTTCAGTGTCACATGATCTTTCAGAAATCATTCTAATATGCTGATTTGCTGCTCAGGAAACATTTCTGATTATCAGTATTGAAAAAGACAAGACATTTTTGGGGAAACTGACACATTTTATTTAAATGTAGAATTTAGATTAAATACAAGTAATATTTCTGTGGTTGTGATTGACGCTTGATTCAGCCAATCACTGTCCGCTGTTTCACCCCATAGGCCAGTGATTCGGGCAGGCCGCCCCTGTCGTCGATGGCGACCGTGTTGGTGCGTGTGATAGAGGAGAGTGTACACAAGCCAGTGGCATCACCTTTACATGTGCACATCGTAACCATGGAGGACGAGTTTCCAGGAGGTGTGATCGGTCAGATCCACGCCACGGACCAGGATGCCTTTGATATACTTACCTACGGACACACACACCAGCAGAGCAGCCTGTTCAAGGTATATGAGTGTGTGATCCATTGGTTTGTGTTTCCGTTATGCATGCATCACATTCATATTTTCACAGTTTTCCTCCGTTATTCTCATGTTTTAGATTGAGTCCAAATTGAAGTCCACAAAACCCCTACAACAATTACCATTCAGTTATTATTATCATTGAATTATTATTATGAATTAGTTAATACATTTATTATTCAAATGTGACTGTGGACCACAAAACCAGTCTTAAGTTGCACGGGTATATTTATAGCAATAGCCAACAATACATTGTATGGGTCAAAATTATCGATTTTCCTCTTATGCCAAAAATCATTAGGATATAGATCATGTTCCATAAAGATATTTTGTAAATTTCCTACCGTAAATATATTAAAACTTAATTTTTGATTAGTAATGTGCAATGCTAAGAACTTCAGCTTTCAAATAGTTGTATCTCGGCCAAATATTGTCCTATCCTAACAAACCATACATCAATGGAAAGCTCAATTTTAAAAAAAAATTACCCTTATGACTGGTTTTGTGGTCCAGGGTCACAAATAATAATGCAATTATTCACTTTGGGGCAGTTTGAGATTCAAAGAAATATAATTAATAACTTGTTTTTGTCTAAAATAGAATTATATTTTTAATGACATTTTGAACATGACTACTCATTCTTTATTTTTATTGATGGGGATTATGCAATACCAAAAAAATACTTTCAAATCAAAACTACCATAAACTTTAGCTTCTTTGAAGTTCATGCATTTTTCATCGTTTCATTCATATGCACAATTTTCTCTAATTTCAACCTTTTCAACATACTATTTAAATGTTTTTGTTGTTGTTGTTGATGATGTTTTAACAATGAGAAGTAGTAATTATTATTAATTAATATTAATTAATTTACATACATGCAAAGTTTGAACTTAAATTTAAAATAAATTTTTAGAAGT